TTAGTGATGGACGGGTAGTCCTTCAAAATGTCAGCGAAAGGGGTGCTCTGGATAGTGAGATGAATGCCAACCGAACGTTCAGAGCTAATGGTACCTATGGTAAAGAGTTGGGTGGTTGTGTCTGTGAGGCGACGGTGTCTGACATCGACTGTTTAGCCGAAAGATGACAAAAAGTCGGCCCCGATAATGGGCGATTTGACGTCAGCCTCAATAAAGACCCATTGAAAACGTCGCCGAAGACCAAGATCTAAAGTGTGGGAACGTTGGCCGTAGGTGCTGATTGTGGTGCTATTTGCAGCCTGCAATGAGAATTGCGAAGGCTTGAGGCGGTGACGCCTTAGAGGCGGGATGACACTGACCTCGGAGCCGGTATCCACCAGGAAACGGAGGCCGCTCGACTTGTCGTTGATATAGAAAAGGCGACTGGGTCGTGACGGGCCAGCAGCAGTCGTCGCCATTACTGGCTGGCGTGGTCGTTTAACTGTGAAGAACGAGCGAACGAACAAGGAGGTATGCATTTTCGGGCTTTCGGGCAATAAGTGAGACGATATCCACATAATGGTTGTGAACGCCGCTCACGGGATTTAGACCGACGATGTGAGCATGGCTGTTTTCTAGCCGATTGAATACTGTTAAGGGCAGAGCACATGTTGCTCACCTGAGTGCAAAGGAGATGCACAGTGTCTCTTAGGTCGTCGTAATCGGTGCGATAAGCGTCGGTGGATGTTCTGGGAGGACCGGCTGATGTAGTCGCTCGTCGGGCTGTGCAACAGCATGGGGCTTTTTCCGTGTAGGGAGTGTCGTGCTCTGATAATGCTGGGCCTTCTGAATCAAAGTCAATGCCCTGATGGGGCTTGCCTTTGGAAGGCGGGGGCTGTCGAATATTGGAACACGAGGAACCAATGGGGTAGCACTCTTTGATTCTGTCAGCGTGTGTAGCTAGCTCCTCTGAGGGTGTCTTCGAGTCCAACATAGCCAAAACCTGTTGCATTAGCACCGGTAACTTTTCTAACCAAATCTCGCGAAAAATGGCGTCGTCCATGTGCCTACCAGCGAGAAGTGAGCGCACGTGACGCATGAGCTGGGAAGATGTCTGATCACCTAGCTATACTTGCGTGAACAGTTCCAGCAGCATAAGGTTGGCCGATTTAGCCACCCTTTGGATTACCGCTTCCTTCAGCTGCGTATACGGTTCGTCGGCTGGAATGGGGTCAAGGAGGTCTTCGACGGAGACAGCTACATCAAATGGGAGGGACTGCAAAACGTACGAATAGCGGGTACGCTCGCTAGTAATGCGACTTGTCGCGAAAAGAGCCTCGATGTGCCTGAACCAAACGCGAGGATTGCTCGGTGTAAACGATGGCAGTTTAAAAGAAAGAGTGTTAATGTCGAGTGGGTCTTTTTGGGAGTCGTTATTGGCCATGGTAAATAGAAAAAAGGCTCGGAATGCAAGAAAAACCGAGGTCAGCAATTTTGTAGTGGAAACGTGGACTTAGAAACTACAAACAGTAATATATATATATATATCAATCAGGAATGGGCGCACACCGATCTATTGGCTTCACAAAGCAAACAAGCTCCGTATGTGTGGCAAAGGTCACGAACAGGCAACCAATTACCAGGCCGAAGTCGGCCAAGTCATAATAGCAGCAAGGAGGGACGACAGAGAATGCGGGTAGATTGATACAGCACTGTTTCGGGCTTATTCTGTGTGCGCCCATTCCTGATTGATAAATACCCGATCTGCAGCGACAGAGAATGACAGGTGGCGAGGCACTGATGAACTTCGGTTCGATGAAGTGCTTATGACCCATCTGGTAGGCCTCAGTGGTGGACCGACTGCGCCAGGTGCGTCTGTGCGCATGTTTGTGTTTCTGGTCTCAGCTGCTGGTGGTCAGGGTTATGATTGGCTGAATGAAGGCAGAATAAGCCCGAAACAGTGCTGTATCAATCTACCCGCATTCTCTGTCGTCCCTCCTCGCTGCTATTATGACTTGGCCGACTTCGGCCTGGTAATTGGTTGCCTGTNCAAGCACACTCGAAACCAGAACACACGTTGACCACCGCAGAGTTGTTAATGTGTATTTTTCGTATAGTCAAACAAATGTACAGGCAAGTCAGATGTACAAGAAAGTGTAGTGAAACAAATCAAAAGTATACAAAAGCCTACAAAATAAAGCCACAAATCTGGGCAGATTTGACCGTAATTCTGTCAGCGAGTTGCGAGTGATCAAGTTTATTAGTGTAGCTTAAACCTAAATCATTGATGTTGGTACATTCATTCATAGGTGTGCCTTGAATGACCACTGGTTGGGATAGTCTGTCAGGACCAAAACACATATAGCGATATTTAGACGGAGAGAATTCCACCAGCCATTCTGAGCTCCAAACTGAGGGAGCAAGCAAGTCAGCATGGATTTGCTCCAGGCAATGAAGAATCGTAGATTTGTTGAAAGAATGTATACATTTGAGATCATCGGCATAAATAAATGATTGAGAATGTTTAACTACTACCGAGATATAATTTATGTAAAGCAGGAACAAAAGAGGACCTAAAACGGTGCTTTGTATGACACCACTTACAATAGGGCTTTCACTAGAAAGTGACGATCCCACCAAAACCTTTTGTTTACGATTAGACAGGTAGGACCTGACAAAGTCTATTAGTGGACTGCGAATTTCACTAGCTTCCAATTTAACCAAGAGTCTTTTATGTGGCACTTTGTCAAAGTCTTTACTAAGATCAAAATAAATAAGGACAACAGATAGATGGTCATTATGAAGAGAGGTAAGTTGATTGAGAAACTACAAATGACATGTTTCGAAAGAGCGATCTGGTAAAAAAAAACAATGTTGGGAAGGGCTAATAACTCTATTTGCTCTGTAAAAGTCAGTTATTTTTTAGGGCGATATTTTTTCAAAGGTTTTAGCGCGAGAAGGCGTTTTATGAACACCTCGATAGTTCTGTACGTCTGAAAGACAGCCATAGTTAAATAAAGGAATAATAATAGAAGTTTTCCAATAGTCAGGGAAGAAGCCATTTACGAGAAATACTGAAAAGATTTTGCTAAGCAGAGGAGGAAAATCTCTTAGCTGTGTTATCAAAGAGCTTGGGATATTGTCCGTACCTACTGAGTGAGAGTTAGGAAGATGACTTATCGGTTTTTGAATACATTCAGGAGAAAAATTAATGATGCTAAGATAAGCATCAGACAACGGAGGAATTAAAGGGATTGGGTCAGTTTTAATGGTGAAATGTTTGGCAAAGAAACAATTTAACATTTATGCTTTGCCTGATTCCTCTGTAATGAAGGCATCGTGGTATTAAGCAAAGGCGGAATGTTTTGGTGGGACTTAGCAAATCATCTTTGACGAAGGCCTGAGCAACTGATTTAGAAGCATTTACGTCACTAATAGCTAAAGACTCTCTACGGCCATCGCGCGCGTGAGCCTCGTTTGCGAAGCTAATTCAAATACTTCGACGATTATTAGATGAAATGATAATGAGCTCAGGGAAGGATCCTTAAGCTGCTTCTGTAGCTTTTTAAGTCTGTTTTCCAGGAAGAGAGGGACAGCGGTGGTAGTGGCACTAGATTTGAACGGCTTCCGTGGAATTAGATTGAGAGTACCTTCTGTTACGCATTGCAATTTGCTTAATAAATTTTGATCATTATTGGAAAAAAATGTGCCAATCAAGAGTGATTGTAAAGTTATAAACTGATTCCTTGTTAATATTAGCAAAGTCAAAAATACTACTTTGTACTGTTGGCTTTACGGAAATGGCAACTGGAAGGCGAAAATGAATTAATGCATGATCACTTGCGAAAATGTCATGATAGAGATCCATAGATAGAGGTAAGGTGCCAAAAGTGAAAAGTAGGTGTAATACACTATCATTTCTGGTCGAAGAACGGACTAATTTGACACTTCGACCATCGATTTCGATGATGTCCACCGTGTGCCCCACAGCAGGTTGGAGCAGGGACGGTGACTTGCGCAGGGGTTTATAGTGCCAGTAGACTTGCGCTGCATCTACCTACACTCTCTCCTCCTCCCTCGCCCGAGCCCGGTGTCAAGACAGAGTCAAGAAGACCGGAGACGAGGGAGGCCGCAGGTGGATGGCTCGGACGGATCCTCACCTTGGCGTTCCACCACACCCCCTGGTCCACACAACAATAACCAGGATTTCAACCAACACAACAGAGACTTGGAGGCTGGCACGGCCGAAGCCGCACCTGGGCGTGCCGCCAACGCCTGGCTCGGATCCCACACTGTGGTGAGAGCGCCATAAAGGCCACATTAAAAAGGAGCCATTGCAGCCTGACTCTCAAATTACCACCAGTTAAGGAGGCGGACCAAGTTACCCCGTCAGTTGGCAACCTTCCAAGCCACGGCTTTTATCGCACCGTGATAGCTTCAAGCGCGTCAGACTGATTATAGTGAGGAAAGTGCGCTGAGTCATCGACGTCACTCTCCCTTCCCATTCCCACACCCCAGCCGCCGTCCGAGCCGGTCGGCAAACTGAAGTGGGGAATGGGCGCGGTGACTGACAAGGTCGACTGACCGTGACTGCGCGCGCCACAGCACGACCTGGCCCCCCATACACACACAAACACCAGGATTTCACACAACGGGGGTTGAACGGCGTGTCTCTCACTTGCGTGAGAGGGCCGTGGAAGGTGCTGCTTCAGCCAGTTCCCAGCCCACCAGTCCGCCACTCCACACAACACACACACACAACGCGACGAACTGCGTGAACCGAGAGCGGGCGTCAATCAGCAACCTTCCTATCCACGACACTTGAAGTGTCGGGATAGTCTCGGACTCAAATCACCCGTGCAGCCGAAGCCGCGTGGGGACCGAGTCGAGATGCACACTTCCCACTTGCGTGAAAGGTGGCAGTTGGTGCATGAGGTGTGTAAGTGTTGATTTCTGGTGGGGTGATGGTGGTGGTGGGGGAGGTAGGGAGTGAGTGAATGTGTGGTGTGGCCAGCGGTTGTCTACCGCAGGTCGTCGTGGATGCGCATGTGGCCGAATAGGCCCATGCGGTGCCTGAAAGTGCGAGGACAGTGTGGGCAGTTGAGACGAGCTTGTTGGGTGTAAGTTGGTGTTCCAGGCACTGGGTCTCCGGTCTCTGTGCGATCGATTCGCAAGTGACCGACCAGGCCGATGCATGAGGTGAATGTGCGTGGACAGTGTCGGCATGTGAAGTCGGTGGTGTCAGAAACAGCTACAGAGGAGGCGTTGGTGGTGGCGCAGATGGACGGTGCGAGGGTGGTGCTGGGCATGATGGGCGTGGTTGGTGTATCGGAATTGTGGTCAATTCCGCTCTCGTGGATGCGCATGTGGCCGAATAGACCCATGCGATGCGTGAAGGTGCGAGGGCAGTGGATGCGAGTGCGGTGGGTGTAGGGCGGTGCTCCAGGCACTGGTTTGCCGGTCTCTGTGCGATGGATTCGCAAGTGACCGACCAGGCCGATACGTGAGGTGAAGGTGCGATCGCAGTGAGGGCAGGTGTAGTCCTGATTCTCATTGCTGGAGTCGGGAGAGGCGGGGGTGGCCTCCGTTGGGGCAGTGGGGGTGGAGGAGGAGGAGGAGGAGGATGAGGAGGAGGAGGAGGGGGAGGAGGAGGAGGAGGAGGAGGAGGATGAAAGTGGTGGTGCAGAAGAATTGCCAGAGTTAGTTGGCGGCAGAGAGGACGAGGATGAGGCGGGCGGGGGGATGTATTTTGATGCAGTTCGAGAGGTGCAGTTGATCCGAAGATGTCCAACAAGGCAAATTTGAGCCCGGAATGTCCGCTGACATTGAGGACACGTTGGAAGCGGTTGTGCGGCGGCGTTGCTGTCTGGGCGCAGTTGGGATTTGCGAGCTTCGCGTTTCGCTTTGGCGGCAGCGATGCGGTTGGCTTCGTAGATCGCAGCGCCTGTCTTCATTGTCCTCCTCCAGGTCGGTCGATCGCGGGCGAGCTCTTCCCAGTTGGTCGGGTTGATTTGCAGTAGCTTCAGGGAGGACTTCAAGGTATCCTTGTATCGACGAATTGGGCCTCCTTGACGGCAAGAACCCGTCGCGACGTCTCCGTAGAAGAGTCGTTTGGGTAGTCGCTCGTCGTCCATGCGCACCAGGTGGCCGCTCCAGCACAGCTGCATTTGTCTCAACATGGAGTAGATGCTCAGAATTCCCGTCCGTTCCAGCACTTCGGTGTCGGGGATGCGGTCCTGCCAGTTCATCCTCAGGATGCGACGAAAACAACTGAGGTGGAAGTGGTTCGGTCGGCGTGCCTGTCTCGTGTACACCGTCCAGGTCTCGGCTCCGTACAGTAGCGTCGGCAGGATGGCGGCCTTGTACATCTTCAGCTTCGTGTTCAGTTGAAGACCGTGACGATTCCAAACTGAGCTTTGGAAACGACCGAAGGCTTGACTGGCTTTCGAGATCCTGTTGGCGACATCGTCATCAATCTTGGTGTTGCGGGAGAGAGTACTGCTCAGGTACGGGAAGTTCTCCACCACTTGCAGTTGGGTTCCGTTCACGCTGATTTGCGGCGGCGCGTTGGGGGCTGTGGCCGAGTTGAGTGGCGGTTGGTGTATCACCACCGTCTTCTGCGTATTAATGACCAGACCGAAGTTCTCGCAGGCGGCGGAGAATAGGTTCATGCTCCGTTGCATCTCCTCTTCCGAGGTGGTGTTCAGGGCGCAGTCGTCGGCGAAGAGGAGTTCGTGAACGGTGGTTGTGGATACGCGCGATTGGAAGTGCATTCGCCGTTGATTCAGGAGGTGACCGTCCGTCCTGTAGGCGATGCGGATCCCGGGGCGTTCGTCGCGGTAGGCGTCCATCAGCATGGCAGAGAGCATGAGACTGAAGAGGGTAGGCGCCAGCACACAGCCCTGCTTCACTCCGTTGGTCACTGCGAATGTCTCTGAGACAGCTCCGTTGTCCGTGACTCGCGCCATCATACCGTCGTGCAGCTGACGCACCATCTGAGTGAATCGCTCCGGACAGCCGAATTTCTGCATGATCTTCCACAGCCCTTCACGATTCACCGTGTCGAAGGCTTTCGTCAGGTCCACGAATGTAGAGTACAGGTGGGTCCGCATCTCCTGACACTTCTCCTGAAGTTGGCGGGCGGCAAAGATCATATCCGTGGTCCCACGATGACGACGGAAGCCGCATTGGCTTTCCGGCAGAAGGCCCTGTTCCAGATGGTTATTGAGGCGGTTGAGAAGGATGCGGACGAAGATCTTCCCGGCGATGTTCAGCAGGGAGATGCCGCGGTGATTGTCGCAGACTTGGCGATTCCCTTTTCGCTTGTATAGGTGCACGATTGTTGGGTATTTGAAGTCTTGCGGGACTTCACCTTGACGCCACATCTCCTGGAAGAGCGCAGTCAGGTGATCCATGAGTTGGGGACCTCCGTGCTTGTAGACCTCAGCAGGGATTGCATCCGATCCGGGTGCTTTCCCGCTGGAGAGTTGCTGCACGGCCCTGATGGTTTCCTGGAGAGATGGCGGGAGGTCTAGGTCCGCGTTGGTCTCCACTTGCGGCCATCGCGCGATGGCGGCGTCGGAGATGGCGGAAGGGCGGTTGAGGACGCCTCGGAAATGCTCGGCCCATCGCTGCAGGATTTGCGTCTTCTCAGTCAGGAGAGTACTGCCGTCGGCGCTGAGTAGAGGAGCAGTGCCCTTCGTCGGCGGACCATAGACAGTTTTGATGGCAGAGAAGAAGTTCTTCCATTCGTTGCGGTCCGCGTAGCCTTGGATCTCCTCAGCTTTGCGAGCAGTCCAGGCGTCCTGCATCTCGCGCAGTCGTTGCTGAAGTTGGCGGCGACTGCGGTAGAAGGCAGCTTTGGTGGCATCAGTGGAGTGATCTACGTAGGCTTTGTGTAGGCGGTTCTTCTCAGCTAGCAGATTTCTGATGGCGGCGTCGTTGTCGTTGAACCAGTCCTGGTGTTGGCGGGGAGCGCGACCGAGGGCGGCGAGCGCCGTCGACTGGACCGTGTCTCGCAGTTGACACCAGCGGTTCTCCACGGAGGCGTTCTCGGCAGCGGCGGCATCGGCGATGGGGAGGTTGTCTAGCCTTTGAGCTAGCTCAATGCTGACATGAAAATGATGAGCGGGCAAAGACAACAAGGCAACATTCAGCTTACCTGGGGGTCGCTTACCTTGAGGTCTCCTGCGAGGCTGTAGGCGAATACGCATCTTCGAGATGACGAGGCGATGATCAGTCCACCCGTCATCACCCGCGATCGCCTTCGTCACCAGCACGTCCCGCTGGTCACGCCTTCGGACGAGGACATAGTCCAGCAGGTGCCACTGACGCGACTGAGGATGCCTCCAAGTGGCCTTCTCTCGCTCCGGCAGACAGAAGAACGTGTTCGTCAGGATGAGGCGGTGTTCTGCGCAGGTGCGGAACAGCGGCAGACCATTGTAGTTTGAGCAGCGGAGACCGTGGGGACCCAGCACTCCTCTCCAAGCAGTATGGTCTGTGCCGACGCGGGCGTTTAAGTCGCCAAGGACAATCAACTTGTCCGCCTTCGACACAGTCGCCAAGAGGGCGTGCAGGTACTCGTAGAATTTGTTTCTGACGGCGTCGGGGTTGGTCATCGTCGGAGCGCAGGCGCTGATGACGGTGGCGAATTTGCCTCCCCAGAGAGGCAGACGAAGGCTCATCAGGCGATCGTTGATGCCCTGCGTCAGACTGGGCAGTCGTCCCACGATGTCGTTCCGGATGGCGAAGGCGACACCCGCGTATCGTCGCTCTGCCCTTGGGTCGACCACTCCAGTAGAAGGTGTAACCGGCTCCCACCTCTTCCAGTTGGCCTTGTTCGTAGAAACGGGTCTCGCTGAGTGCGGCGATGTCCACCTTGTAGCGCGCCAGTTCTCGTGCAACTAACGCTGTCCTCCTTTCCGGTCGGTTGCTCCGCGGATTGTCTAAAAGGGAACGAACATTCCAGGCTGCCAGAGTGAGCGGACTCACCCTGCCAGTCTGGTGACAACGATTGGGGCGACGGGAAGGAGATGGAGAAGAAGGTGACGAAGGAGAAGAATAGGCAGAAGAATAGGCAGAGGAAGAGGAAGAAGAGGTAGGATGAGGAGAATGAGCATGGTTGTTGTTGTTATTGGTATTGTTGTTGTTTCGATTTTGATTGTTTCGACCATGATTAGATGCCTGCTGCCCTGGCTAGCCTGGAGACGGCGCGGTACCCAGCAGTGTTTAGGCCACCTTTTCTAGGCCCTTCCCCTCGTGGGGGCTGGCAGTGCCATCCCTGAATAGGGCTGCCATGTGCCGTTGTGGCACGGCCGAACTCCACTATGGGACCACGAATTCGGGTTGTAGTGGAGAGCGACTCGAATTCGCCGTAAGCCGCGGTCTCCGACGGCGTAGGTGGGCGCGTCCAGGCGATGTCGATTTGGAGATCCATCCCGTCACCAGCTGTCCAGCGGCGTGCACAGACGAACCACGTCACGACGGTGCCGACGCAAGGTACCATTCGACCTTCCATCCAGCGGAATCCGCAAACCATGTGCACACGGCACAGCGCACAGGCAAAATAAAAGCGGGCCGAGTACACTATGTACCCTGAATGGTTCCACTCCTCACAGGTGTGGGGTTGGAGATAATATTGGAAATCTTAACCCGTTGTGTACGAGAGCCCTGATAAGAGGATATAAAATTTAAAATTTTGCCACCTATTCCGAAAAAGGACAGTTTCAAGAGACGAAGAGCATGGTCAACACGGTCAAAAGCCTTAATGAAATCGAAATATACTGTATAAAGTGCAAAACCATTGTCCTTAGATTGGAGAACATATTCAAAGATAGGGAGTTGACAGGTGTCACAAGACCGAGATTTGAGGAATCCATGCAGAGAAGCCCTCAGTAGGTTTTTCACTGTTAAGTGACGCATCATCTAATATTTGATCAAAGTCTCTAAGATTTTCGAAAGTGTGGGGATTGTGTTTATTGGCCGGAAGTCATCAAATGACGTGGATTTGCCGTGCTTAGGACTGGGCAAAATGTGTGATTCCTTCCACAAGGAAGGATAGGTTTCCCTTTTAAGAACGAGATTAAATATCTTGCATAAGTGGGATGGGAAAATCGTGTTTGCATCGGCTTTTAAAATGCTTACTGGGACACCATGAGTTCCTGGACTATAAGATTGACGAAAACACTGAATCGCAACAGTGACATCCCACAGAGTGAAAAATATAGTTTTTAGAATTGCCCGGTCAATGCAAAGATGGTCGGAAGCGGAGAGATCGAGTCTTCAATAAACGCTTTGGACAGGAAATCATTAAAGCTATCAGCGGTTAACTGGGCATCAACTATGGGATTTCCGAGAGCGTCCCGGAGGATGGGATGCTGCGTCTTTCTATGAGTTCGTATATTTCTAGAGAAAAGTTTCGAGACATATACCGAATTATTTTCGCTAAAAAAGGGCCTATTGAGCTCGCTAGTTTTCTTCACGCAATCTCTTAGCCAGCTCAAAAATATCAAAAATAAAGGGCGGGACAGAAACTTCGTTCTGAAGACGGAGTCAAAGATAAAGTCTGCGCTATTTGCGAGGAATGGGTAAGGGAAGGACAACCTCATCCCCAACATTAATAATTTTCTTACGGGGGACAAAACGAGAAATAAGCGGATCCAAGATTTCGTACAGATTTGCAGTGCAAACATTTACATCCGAACTAAGGAAGAAATCAGTCCAGTCGTAGGAATTAAGGTGTGTTAATAATTCGGTTGAGCGAGTGGATCGGAAATCGCGGAAAAAGGCTATACTTTGGGGACAACGTTTTGTCAGCCTCGAATTCCCACGTTGAAACAACTATGTCATTGTCTGAGCCCCCGAGTGGGCCAAGAGATGACAAAGACGAAGGTATGCAGTCTCAACAAAAAATCGGATCAATAATGCTTGATCCTCGGGTGGGAAAATCGACGAACTGAGTCCACATCCCAACATCCACAGCCTCAAGAATTTCTTCGAACTCTCTGGGACCTGAAGGCGGAGACCAGCGGACTTCGGAGAGATTAAAGTCGCCCGCAACCAATTGATACTTAAAGCTTTAGTCGGCCGCAGCATGGAATGCCTGTGAGAATAAACGACCAAAATTTTCGTTGGCATTGGGAGGGCGATAGACACAGCCAACGAGTAAGGAGAACCTATATTTTAGAGCAACCTGGAGCCAGCAGCTGCCTTCTACCGCGGAAAAATGCGGGAGGTCAAGCGGCAAAAATGTAAGTGTTTGCTTGACGTAGACGCAGCTGCCTCCACCACGGCCATCTTGGCGATCATTTCGAATGGAATTATAGCCTAGGAGAGAGAGAGAGAGTTCGGAGTCAACTACGGAGGCCGATGCCTACGTCTCAGATACTAAAACAATATCTGGACAATGGAAGAACACCAGATTCTGAAGCAAAGGCATCTTATTAAACAAGGATCTGGCATTTAAAACAAAAAGTTTGAGGGGAAAGGTTGTTTGTTTCTGAGGCAGGTGGGCTACGTCGTCCAGTGCTGGGCTGCCCACGGAGCAAACGGTCAGGAGCGATGCAAAGTCACGGCCTTTGGCGAAACGACGACGCAAACACGCCTGGTGCAGGAGCCCAAGCCAGCCGGTTTGTGCTAACTTAGCTAACCAATTAGCGTGTGCTGCGTCATCGAGCACGCCTGGCGCTGTTGCTCAAACAAGCGGCGGATCGAATATTCGATAGTCTCCCGCATGGGCTTCTCGCACAAAAACCGGCCAATCAACGAACGCCACGCGACAGGACGGAAATTTTGTGGAATGGCGTCGCGATATGACACGCAGTATGTCGGAATACTCCTGAATGCTCAGGAAACCAAATAAATAAGGCGAGTTTGGATAGGAGAAAGGTCCTGTGCCTGTAGGCTATTAATAAAGTGTTTGTTTTCAAACTGGCTTACTTTCTGTTCCATCTAACTGTCAGGTCATAACAGCGACAGAATCACACGTGTAGCTGAGCCTGAATCTATCCGCCGCCAGGCGTGCACACTTCGGGCTGACAAACAATTCGGCTAAAAGGATGGCCATGCATCAGCCCTTGACCAACACTGGATAACGACGACGCTTGCATCACTGCCAATGGCATCCAAATAAAACCGGTGGATAGATTCGTCAGCCTAGGCAGTACCCTCATGCAGAACCAAACTCAAATTTGGAGTTTCTCACCGATGTAGATTGCCAAACAGGCCCTCAACCGGTTGTAAGCCCAACAACAACCTATCTCAAAAACAAGCTCCAGATGCACAAAACCAGCATCTTTAGAAAGCTACTCTACAGGGCAGAGACATGGATCACCTAGGCCAATCAAACCACGATGCTCAATTACTTAAACATCAGATAACTCCGGCGAAAACTGAAGCCCAGTTTGCAGGACTGAATCCCAGACACAAAAGTCTTCGAACGAACCGGAATCCTGAGTACCCACGCCATGCTGAGGCAACTGTTGTTGTCTTGGAGCGGCCACCATGCGAGGGCAGATGTAACTGCGGGTGCCAGCCGACAGGCCTCCATTAAGGATGTACAAATAAATTCTCCGACTTGGGTGGACCTCGCTCTAGGCCGACCGACCTGACAAAGAGCAGAGAAGACTAGAACGGCAGTCTACGCGGCCAATCGGATTGCCGCCCCCAAAGCCAAAAGAGCGGCTTGCATGCATCAAAGGCCTCCGATCCACAACCACCACACCCAACCTCTTCCAACATGTCTACCTTGACAACGAACATTCCGTGCGCGGGTCAGCCTTGTCAGAAATCTCCGGATCCAATGAAACAACATCCCAACTATTTGACCGGCTGGCTCCGCAAACGCCTCCACAATCATTCTTCCACTAAACCAAACAGTGCCCACGAAGGTAACCATCACCAACCACCACCGTGATTCTCAAATGCGTCAGATCGGCCATAGGGAGGAACTACGCGCTGAGAGTCGACCACTCACACTCTAACCTAGTCCCTGTACAAGTCAACTGTCCGAGCCGGTCAACGAGCAGTTGCTGGGATTAATCCCATGCGATGAATGAATGAACATCGACAGTGTGGAAACTGAAAGTGAAGACGACGTGTATGCGGGGCTACCGAAACTAGCGAGCCGGTCGAAGTGCGACGGATTCATAAGTTGGCAACCAGGCCGATGAGTGAGATGTGAGTGCGACCATAATATGGACAGGTTTACGCAGGTCGATAAACGACGACTCTTACTACAGGACTATCTGCGGCCAGCCATAAACTATATTTCCTGATTTTACTCCCTATGTAACGCATCCCTGAACATTTAATGAAGTGTTCTCCCGTAAACTACACAAATGACTACGTTTTGTGCTGATTGTATAGGTGCACTTGAAATCTCATGTGTACATGGAAAGCCGCCTGCCGTATCCTTCGCAGTTCCACAGTTAAACGTTTTCTGCAAACCAATATGTTACTAGCGACATTTTAGTAAGATGTGCATTTAAAACCAATATTGTGTGTACGTCTTCGATAGGGTCATCAAGGGCACTGCCTATTACCCTAAATATACTATACTACAATCCTAAACTAGAATAAGTCCACAGGACTGGAAATCGGTATGGTGAAGGGGTTGAGACGTCACAAAGGACTGTGCCGGTATCAATTTTCAGGGGAACGCCCACGAGCTGCAGTCTGCCAATCGACTCGTCGCCAGGACATGCGACTTTTCGTTGCACAATTGTCATGCTAATAAGGTCGATCCAATAGTAAGGTGGAGGGAGAGAGGGAACGTCTGGACAGCACACCAACCACCCCAACCTTTGTGCCATCAAGGCAGCTCGTGCTTGTGGTGACTTATGAAGTGTGGTCCAAGTTGTCGATTTCCCCAGTATTATATTGTCCCAATGGGATCGAAGTACAAATATCCGCAACTTGTTGTCCGTGGAGACAGTGGAACCGCGACCTTCCAAAAAGTGGTGAAGACGCCTCACGGCCGAGGTGTATATTATAGTATGTTTAGGGTAATAGGCAATGCCCATGATAACCCAATTGAAAAGGACACATATAAAATTCGTGTTCAATATACTCTTACTTAAATGTTGTCAGTAACATATTCATTTGCAGGAAACTTTTTACA